CTTTTGCATATCTCCAAGTTGTTACAAAGCGCAATCGCACGATGGCCGTCAGAAAGTTGTCGGGATTATGCGGGCCGCGGGCCAGATTATTCCGACCGTGGAACATGATATCTTTTATGCAAATTTTGTAGATGCGTGAGTGCGTGCGTGCGCGCGCGCACAAGATCCGTGTGGCAGAAAACGACATTGTGCAACCCTATTAAAACCGATAAAAAAAGTCAATTAAGTAACGCGAGCGACTAAAGCCGAGCGCGAACGCAATTACGCCGAGAAATCTTTTCGCGATCCCGACGTCGCGATAAATTAAAAAACGCCGGCTGTGAACATTGTCTGCGAATACGATTGTAAATAGTATTTGGGTCGCGACGGTAATTTTTGCGTCATATAAATAAAAGAAATCTCAAGCGAAAATAATTGCATCTTGCAATTTTATCAAATCGAATTATCGAAATAAAATTATTTTATATACGAAATTAGAGCTGTTCTGTCTATACCAGCTACTTTTCTGAATGTAATATCTGTACATTATTTCTATTATATTTTGTCTACATTGAAAAAAAATATAGTCAATTTTAATAAATGCTTAGTTGAGTACAACTGCCAATTAAATATTTATTAAAATTAATTTTATTCTTTTTCTGTATTATGTTGTGTTTAAGAAACTCTAAATTCGCGTAATTAGAAAAAGTAATATATTTATTATTATTTTATATCATACTCGTAAAAAAGTAAATTGCATAATTGCTAAATTAATGTAAAAAGTGATTATCTTAATTACATAAACGTAACAAAAATATTCTTGTTGGGATAAGAATTAAGCGCGAATAATATAAAAAGAAAAAAATGAAGTAGTAATAACAAGGTATAATTTGGAAAAGATAATTATGGTTACTAAAAAAAAAGGTAATTGTAGAGATTAAAATAAAATATTAACGGTAAAGAACATCACTGACACTGTCACGACAATTAAGCCTGAGATTGAACATCTCTTTCTCTTTCCCAGAATATAACCGGATTCGATTCGCGGAATTCGGGTGACCGGCTAAAAACGTCGACCTCGAGGATCGTCCCTGGTTTGCAGGTGTGGCTTGGCGACTTAATGACGACTTAACGAAAGTATATATAGTATATCACACGCACATAATATGGATATATAGCGATTAGTATCGATACAGAGCGAAAAAAATTCATTAGCATGAATACGACTGCCCTTCGCGATTATATCAACTGATTTCATTTATCCGCGTCTCTCCGTTCGTTTTTCGACACAAGTCCAAGTTTCAGTTTCTTTCATGAGATTTCGCGGACTTTCTCGCGACGAAACAGCTACGATTATGTAACCGCAAAATGGTGAAAATTATATGCTAAGATTTATGTGATTGAAATGTGTTATTTAGATGATCAAGGATTAACGATTTGCAATGCTAATCAGATTAATGCGAGCAATTTAATTGATTAACTTCCTCGAATATGATCAAAGAAACTTTTACTTCCTTCAATCATAATTTACTTGATGCATAATTACATAGATATTGACTTCTTCATGACACATCTTTTTATTGATTATACTTACACATATTAATGATTTCTTATTTGATGTTTAATAATAAAAATATATTTGTCTCTCAAAATATCATTTATTATGCTATATTGATTTCATTTCTTTTAGTTAAGATTATTCTTAATAAAATATCCAAATATATTCTTATGTGTCATAAATTTATGTGGCAACTGTTTACACAATCTCATTACTGAACGATTAAACATTATCAGCAAAAAATGCCATACGATTGCTTCGATTTGTCCGGCATTACGAAATGCTGGAATTACATCACGTTGTGCTTACAAATTAAGTCGACGAAGTAACACATTGAATGAAAAATTAACTAACCCTGCGGCATTAACTAACCCTTAATAAAAGGACATTAATTCATGAGGTAAGTGGGTTCCGTCCTTTGCGCACGCTCATGCGTGAAGGCATTTAACCACGAGATTAATAATCGATATTCACGATCATCGTACGCAACCTGAAATGACCGAACATGTATTACAACAACTAATACGCTTGACAAGTATTTCTATAATTAGCGTGATAATCATCAACGCGCAAGTATCACTAGTTAAAAATCCAGAAAAAAAGGAAAAAAGATGAAAGGAAGTGAAACTTGTGGTGAACTTCTTTTCGAATTTTATCATGCAGTCGAATCGTGCAAGTTAATTATTTGAACAAGTTTGTAATGATGGTAGGAAAATCATATGAAGGAGCTTATCGAATTTCTGCACGTACAGAAATGTATATGTATACAGATAATCTGCAATTAGCATATAAAATACTAAATAGTACATAAATACAATATTGTATATATATAGTTGCTTTAAAAAAATATGTAAATAAAATGGATAATCTTTTAAATCTTTTAAAAGACAGTTTCTTTTTTACATCAATTAATAATTCTTATTATTTTGTTCATAAAAATATAAGATACATTGAGAGAAAAATGTTTGGTATTTGTAACTATATAATTACTTATTATTATAATTATTACTGCTATATAATAATAATAATAATAATTATGTATATAGTTGAATACCATAAAAATGATGACTATAACTTTATAATTATATGTTGGGATAACCATATTTTTTGTCCCAAAATAACTATAAAATTATAATCACTTGAATCATTTTTATAGTAATTTCAACTATTTTATTTTTTTGGTTATAATAACTATAATTATAGTCATTTTAAGTTACCAATTATATATGTTTTTTGCTAAAACTATATACATAATTATTGTTGTTATTATTATAATAATAATAATCATAATTATAGTAATATATAATTGTAGCTACAAATACAAAACATTTTTTTCTCAGTGATTATCAAAAAGTTGATAGTTTACAAGATATTTAATATGTCAATACATGCCAGAACCAAATATAAAATATTTTATATTGGTTTTTTCTTGATATTTCTATCTTTAATACTTTTATATGCAGAATATAATTAGAAGAATCATATTATATAAAAATATGTCTATTTATTGTCTACGTCTTATGAATCTATTTCAAATGAACATCGTTTTTCAATAAAATTTTAATTCTAAGTTTAATTAGATATCTTGTTTAATAATTTTTAAAATATTTCCACTTATAAAAGAATATGTAAAGTCGAATTTCATTGTTACTTTTTTTTTCGCGATGCTGAGTATAATAGTTCTCTTATTATATTACGTTGTATCATGAGAAACTGTCAAAGATCATTGAAATATCGATACCGAAAGTGTTAGTAATAATATTGTATTACTTTATTTAACTTCAAAAAAAGATCAAAATTATATTCGTCTCAAATTTGTCTCGACAAGTGTAACGCGTATCGTAAACAATTATAATTTTATCTATTAACAAGAAATTTTCAATTTTATCAGTATCAATTTTTCAAAAGTATAAAAATCGTTAAATATTCTTTACAGTTTAATGTTGCATATAAAACAAATTATTAATTATTCTCATTTATGGATAATAATATTTTCTCATCTCTTTAGATTTTATGTGAAACTTTTATATCAAATACATAAAATAGAACGAATTATGGAAAAGATTTTCCTAATTATATTCTGCATATAAAAGTATTAAGATAGAGATATCAAGAAAAAAATCAATATGAGATATTTTATATTTAATTCTGACATGTATTGACATATTAAATATCTCGTAAACTATTATATTAACTTTTTTATACTCGTACACTGAGAGAAAAATGTTTTGTATTTGTAATTATAATTATATATTATTATAATTATGATTA